TGTGGTGGTCTGACATTCGAAATGAGACACAGGGAAAATGTCTGAGAAAATGCCAGCCCTGAGTGAACTCAGGTAGCAGTATTTATTGAGAAAAAGTAAAACAAAAGTACAGTATGCATTCAGAAAACAATGACCTCTACAGAATTACCTCACCAGCATGAGAACATACAATCTTGGAAAGTCCCAGATGTTACCTTACTAGGATGAGATCATACAGCCACGGAAAGTCCCATGGGAAAGTCGGGAAAGTCCCATGAGAAAGCACAACTGAGTACCTTGAACTTTTACCTATTTTCCTGTTCCTTCTAAACTTGCAGATCAAAACAGGATGAGACATTCATTGCAAAGGTACTCCTACCCCCACCAAGAATGCCTGCATATCCCTAGATCTATGCTAATAGTTGTACAAAGGACTTACAGAAAATGATCAATAAAATATATTACCACATTCCCTCCTTTTTTATTTATTCAAAGATAGGGGGTGTTTTAGTGGCATAGTACACAGTTCCCTCACGACCTGGTCCCGCACGCCGGAAGACTGAGGTACACATTTGTAATAGATTAGGAATACATTGAATAAAACAACATAATAAGATACATATAGCAATAAGAATAACAACCCCTTGCAATAAGGAGCGAAACCATGACCCATCAGGAAGCCAGGACCACAGACTGTCCCAGAATGATGCATTAAACCCATCGGCTCCAGATTGATGCTGAGCAATACGAGCTTCCATGTCCTGAACAGTCTTTGTAATGTTTGGCTCATAATTATGTATAAAAACACAGCAATGAGAATGAATTAAAGCACAAACTCCTCCTTTGGCAGCTAACATAATATCTAAAGCATATCGATTTTGCAAAGTAACTTTACGAATTTCAGACATTTCTACATTAATCATCTTAATGTTCTTTATAGTATCATTAAACATAGCAACAGTAAAATTATTTAAAATATGAATATCCCTATAGTTCATAGCAACTCCCAAAGGCGGGATAAGACCTCGGGAAATTTGTGTCCATAGATTACCTCCCATGGTTAGACCTGAATCCAATTCCCGACGATTTCGGATCCGAGTATCTGAAGGAAGTGAATCCAGCTTATAGATAACAGGAACTACCATACCCACTGTACAAACCCCTGTCCAATTTTTTGGCCATTGCTGATAAGCCGTGTCTCCACAGAGCAGCCATAGACCATCAGGAAGGGGAAAATAGACCACATTTCTCAGATTTGTATTGGCTGCAGCCTGACTTTCCCACTTCCACATCAACCACATCCAATTACAAAGAACATATGCCCCGTGTGTAATTCCCTTCATTTTAGTAGTTGTTCTATTAACACAGCAGTCATCGGCGATGGACAGAGCCTTAGACAACGAACTGGATGTTCTTGAATTATTGACACAGCCTGGAACAGAAATGTTCCTTGCCTCTTCCCCTTTTGTAATAGCAGCACACTCCATACAGCCTCCTTCCATAAGCACTACTGTTTTACAAAGGGTACTATTACCTAAATCAATAGAGTTTGCAACTGGAGGGCGATAGTAACAAACCGAAGCTGTCGTGGTAAAGGTCACCTTAGCCATATACAAAGTCTGATTTTTCTTTGTCGGATCAGGATTCCAATAAATAAAATTGTTATATGTGCTCAAATTCTGACTTTTAGACTCATCCAAAGGAATAGCATGCAACAATACACCACCCTCCCCAGTTCCTGGCACATGCATGCAAAGCCAACAATTAGTAACATTTAAACCCTTGGCCGCAATCCGGACATCTTTGATATAGGAATTTTCTTTCCATAAATTATCACCAAGGTCTCTAGTTTTAGAGATAATAACATCTCTTTGCCTCCGTATCGAAGTTCGTGGAGGCATAAGACGAATGGAAAGAGAGTCTGTATAATGTAACTTAGGCAACTCCAATTGACACTGATATTGTCCATAGTCTGAAACAGAAACATTAAACAGGATCAGAGTTGTTGCACAGGCTGAAGATATAATATCCTTATCAGGTCCCGAGTAAAGAATGACTTGATCCTTGTGCCAGGACCAATATGCTGGAAAAACCAAAGGATACCGCTGTTTGCAGATTAATTTAGTCCGGTTCCCCAAAGGAACCTGCTGCATACAAGTTGGTAATCTCAGATAAGCAGTCATCTTTTCCCAGTCTTCACAGCGCCGCGTCCGAGCTATCGGCATCAAGAGAATCAGGAACCACAGGTACACCATCTTGCTCCTCCGAAACTTCCTTCACAGGTGCCTGCGAATGATCAGGTCGAACACACCGACCAGGAACCCAACGAATTTGACCAAGATGTTCAACTGCTGCATAACCACATCCCCACGTTATCAGCTCAGCAGGAACCCATGCTGGATCCGGAAGGAACCGCACCAACACCCGAGGTCTCACCGCATCTGTAGAAGGAGAAGAAAAATGCCTGCTGGCCGCACTCGCAGGGGGGTTACCAGACAAATTTAAAAAATTTAAAGTATATAAAGCTAGATTTAATTGATCTTGAATCGCCGGAAGCCCCAGGAGCTTCCCTCCTTTTTTATTTAATTTAGTTAACATGGTTTTGAGCGTGGCATTATGACGTTCTACAATAGCTTGCCCTGTAGAACTTTTCTAATTGTTGTTGAACCAATTCATGTAAATGAACTAATTTCTCACTAGTCAAAGGCCATTGGTCTATCCACACTGGCTCCTGTTGGAGTAGTTTTAATTTTAATAACTCCACAGGTGGGTGTTCAGTCATCATGAATGACAACCTTTGTATCAAACTGTTGCATCAAATCTCTGCCCCACAAGTTAACGTGAAGGCGCAGAACAATTGGTTGGAAATGTGCAATAGCACCTCCCTGCTCTGTTTTAACAGAAAGAATCCTCCTACTAACCCGTGCGTCCTGAAGTCCTCCGACTCCTCGAACGGACGGTGTAGGATCCGTCGGCCACTCCCTAGGCCACTCACTTTCGCTAATCACCGAGACATCTGCTCCAGTGTCCAGCATCCCAATGAACTTTCTACCTTCAACCAAAAGAGTTAATTTTGGTTTCTGATCAGCTTTGACATTTTGCATGATGGAAAACACACTAGACTCATTAAACATATCTGTAGATCCAAATCCACCCTGACGAATTCTATCTGACTCTCCCAAAGACATAGATGGCAAAACTATAAGCTGTGCAAAACAATCCCCTTTTTTCAAAGATTGAGGAACAGGTGAATGAACCTGAATTTTGATCTGACCCTCATAATCTGAATCAATAACCCCAGGAACCACAAACAATTGATGCTTATGAGCCGATGATCTAGGAAGAAGAAGACCCACAGAAGCCGGAGGCAACGGTCCATAGAAATCCGTTGACCCTAAACAAACCACATGCGGATACCCCAATTCCAAATCCTCGGCTAATGGAAGATCAATTCCTGCTGAACCTTTAGTAGCTGGCAACCATATCTTATCCCTACCTCTCTCTGGTGGCTCCAACCCTTCGGACATTACTTCACTCTTTAGAGTAGGGAGAATGCCCTGATCCCTGCTTCCTAGTTTTTTCCCTCAGAATGAAGTCTGCACTGATTTGCCCAATGGTAGCCTTTCTTACATTTTGGGCACACTGATTTAGGACGAACACCCTGTCCCATTGATCTCTTATTTTGCTGACTTTGACCTCCTCCAGCAGCCCGACATTGTGCTTTAAAATGTCCAGGCTTCCCACAATTGAAACAATTCCCCTTTTTAGCATGTCCTGCTTGTAAAGCCAGAGCTAAAGTTTCCATGTTAAAAGACTGACTCCCAACCTTCCTACATGCATTAATCAAATCCGCGATTTCTTGCTCTCCACTTGCTACAAGCGGATTTAAGATCTTTCTGCAATCTGTGTTAGCTTGTTCTACTGCTAACTTCAAAAGCAACTCTTTCTGGGCGAATTGATTATCAATTTGTCTTTCAATAGCCAATTTCAGTCTGCTAATGAAATTTTCATAGGGTTCATTGTTCCCTTGTTTGATGTTAGTAAAGGTCTTCTCACCACCTTCGCCGTCAGGGAGAGCCCCTACGGCTTGAAAAATTAATTGTGGGAGAAGAACGAACCCTTCCTCAGGCATACCATCTCTCTGTTGTTCCACTGTTGTAAAATTACCAGCTCCGTAAAGCTAATCTGGGGTAACATTTGCTGTTCCCCTCTGTACTGCCAGCTGTCTCCATTTCTGATCTAACACCAAATATTGAGCTGGAGTTAAAATCATATTCAACAGAGCTTTCCAGTCAGCCGGAATCATTTTATTTCCATAACCAACTGCTTCTAACAATGCCTGAGTATATGGCGATCTAACACCATATTCCTTTGCTGCTTGCTTAACTTCCTTCAAAACCCTGAGAGGTAAAGGCTTCCACTCCCGCTGCGGATTCAACGCAGCGTCCATGACAATTTCTACTGGATTAAGTTGAACTTCTACTCCAAACTCCACCAAATCATCTCCTGATAATTCCCCTCTATTCTTTGCTTCTTGAATAGCTGCAGTAACTGCATCCACCTGAACCCTTAAAGGTAAACTCTTATCCTCTGACAAAGTATTTCTAGCGCCGGACAGTCCCCCAGATTTATCTGGAGGTGCCGTCGGCGGCAACAAACGTACCGCATGGTAAGGCGGCAAACCTTCTTCGGGGGGTGCTAGGAGCGGTTGTTCATAAGTAGCTAACGCATCCATAATCACCCTCCAGGTTAACAAAATTGAAGAAGGGGCACGAGGTTCCTCGTGCAAAAATTTCCCTATCTTTTTCCAGGACTCTACTTTAATACTACCTCCCTCCGGATATGACTTAATATTTTTCCAAACATACTGTAATAAGTCCTCAATTTCTTTCTTTCCTACAGCACAACCCCTACTGCCAACTCCAAACCCAAAACTATTCCCAATGATCCCTCTCAATTCCCTGATGTGCTCTTTCTGAGCCTTCAAGAGATCTCCCCCCATACTCACGAAAAGAATCTATCTTCGTCCAGCGAAGAAGATGAGGGCCCAGTCAACGTCCGCGACGATGAGTATAGGATGCGGGAAACGTATAGCCTTCCAAGCTATCACGTCGGGGTCACCATTTGTGGTGGTCTGACATTCGAAATGAGACACAGGGAAAATGTCTGAGA